CGCTGCTGGGCAGCCTGGAGCTGCTGCGGTTCCGCGAGTCGGGCATCGCCTCCGAGGACGAGTCCGCCAGCGAGGACAGCGAGGAGGACCCGCCCCGCCTGCAGCACCTGCGGCGGTGCCAGGCGCTGGGCGACAGCCTCGACGACGAGGTGGCCGTGTAGGCGGGGCCGGGAGGGGGTGCTGCCGTGCTGGCTGCCGGCACAGTTACCGCTTCAGACGAGGAGGGGGGGACCAGCTCCCTGCGGCCGTCGGCTCCTCCCCCGCTGCAGTGTGTGGGCCGGGGGCCTTGCGGGCCCGCGGCTTTGGGACAGAGCTCCCCGGAGGACACCCCGTGCTGCGTCTGTGTGCCCAGCAGCCCCTCGCGCTCCCCGCTCTGTGGCTGGACTGGACTGGGAAGGGGGCGTCGTACGTTCTCAGGTGCTTTGTGTGAGGGTGTTCGGGTCGCCCGACCCTGCCCCGCGGACAGGGTGGTCTCTTCGGTGTGAGCGTGCACGTGGGCCGTGTCACGTGGTGTGAGCCGAGCTGCACCCACACGTGTTCCGTGGCTGGGTGTTAGTGTCGCTTCACTGGGAGCTGGTGCTGGACAGCGCCCAGGCCCTGCTGGGAATGCCCGTGGGAGAATGGCCTCTTCGCGGCCACTGGTCACTCTGGTCTGCCCACTTCCCGCCTGCGAGCCCCGGCGCTCCGCATCCTGCCCGGGCTACGCCGCTGCAGCTTTCCGAGCGTCCTGCCCCCGAAGGCCTCAGAGCCCCTGAGCCCGACGCCCCTCGGCCAGCCCGCACTGGGCGGGAGCGGTCAGTTCTCACTGCGAAAACAGGAGCGGGAGCCGGTGGCCAAGACAGCACAGGTGCCCTCTTCAGAATCACTGCCACTTGGGTCAGGGGCCACCGCTGTGCCACCCTCGCCCGGGTCTGCGGGCCGGTCCTCGAGCCCAGCGAGCAGCCGTTTTGCCATCTCGGCCCCACGCGGTCCCTGTGCCTGCGGGCGGCTCCGCTGGCTTCAGGGAGGCGGGAGGGCTGTGGACGGCTGCCAGGCGCCCGAGCAGTGCGTTCAGGGAAGTAGGTCTTTGTACTGGGCGACAGGTGACAGGCCATTCGAGGGTCAGTTGGTGAGGATGAGGCTGCCCCACAAAGGAGGTCCTCGGCCGTGATGTCGCTTTGTAATCTACGCGAGTGGCAGCTTCGTGTGAGCCTGGGTGTCGGAGGCGGGACGGCCGCGTGTGCGGGAAGGGCCCGTGGGCGCGTGCGGCTGGTGGCGAGGGCCGTGGGCCTCTGGGGTGTGGGAACCAGCGGTGGACTGGGTCGAGGGGGTGGCTCTGCTCGTCTCGTCCCCTGGTCAGTGTGGGGCTGGGTGCAGGTGCGTGAGGACAGGGCAGCTGGGACCAGGGGCTCCCCCAGCGGGCACCCGGGCACCACAGCACTGGTGCCTTCGGGGGTGCAGGGCCCGGCCTCGAGGCCTGCTGCCTGCAGGCCGGCGCCGAGGACCCAGTCTAGTGAAGCCAGTGGGCTGGGGTGGGTGTGGCTGGCTCTGATGGCCAGGTGAGAGCTGGGTGGGGACAGGTCCTCCAGGGGCCCTGATGGGCCTGTAGAGGGAGGAGAGGGACTGGACCGGGGACCTGGCCCATTGAGACCCTCGCCCAGAGTGCTCCCCGGGGTTCCAGGCGCCTGCCTGGGCCGCATCCTCCACAGGGAGACCCAGACCAGCACCTGCGGGGGCTGCGGGGGTGGGAGACACAGGACAGCTCCAGGGGCCGTGAGGGGGAGCCCTGCAGACCCGACGTCCCCTGCACGTCCCCAGCCCCGACTCCTTGCTCTGCAGCTCAGCCCTGTCCCCTCTAACGCACCTCTGCTCAAGCTTATGTGGAGGACAAGTGGACGCCAGGGCCACCTGCCTTCGTGTGTGCCCCAGACCCCCGGGACGTGCAGGCTTGGGGCTCGGGAGGCCTCAGCATGGAGCGGGGGCAAAGTGCGCAGACGGAACTGTGCGGACTCTCGCCTCACACTGCCCGTCACCGCTCCCTCCAGACCTTGCCTCTCGCCCCCCGGTTTACTCTGCCCCCTGCTGCTGACACTTTGCCGTTAACTCTGTGGGCTCAACTCTCTGGGAAGACTCTGGTCATGCAAGTGCCCTTACCCCCGGGGGTGTCACTGTCTGTGGCTTTTGCTAATAAACCTCTCTTTTTTCTAAAAGCTTTCTCTTGTCTTTTCTTGCTCCTGCGCCCCCCCGCCCCCCTCTTCCTGTCCCCTCGCTCCCCCCCTTCCCAAGCCGGGCCTCAGCGCCCAGGCAGCGCTGTTGGAAGCAGCCCCCGCGTCCCCGAGGGGGGCGATGGGGCCTCTGGCTGGAGCCCACACGGCTGCCCCAGTGGCTCTCGTCCGGACAGGTGGCAACATCTGGAGATGGTTTTGACCTCCACAAGTGGGGGAGGGATGCTGTTGGCAGGTAGCGCATGGATCAGGGACGCCACCAAAGCCCCGCAGAACACAGGCAGCCGACGTGCCAGCCGTGCGAAGGGACAAGCCCCGTGGACAGCGTTCCCAGCTCTCCCGGCCCAGGCCTGTCACCGGCCAGTGTGCGGGGGTGTGGCAGTGGCAGCCAGTTCAAGTGCTTCAGAAAGCACGACGTCATAGCCATTCTGAGACATCACCGAGCCTGTCGAGGCCACGCCGTCCCTGGCTGCACATCCAAAGCACACGGTCGGTCGGGCAGCTTGTTCCAGAGCCGGCTGCACGGAAGGCCGGGCAGCCACTGCCTGCGTGGCCTAGAGGGGTTCGCGTGTCACGGCCACACAGCTCCGACGCAGGGTGCGGCTCTTCCGTGAGGTGTGGGGGGATGTGGCGGGGAGGCGGGGTGTTCATGCCACGAGGGGCTCAGGGACCCAAGGGCTGACGTCACGGGAGTCAGGCTCCTGTGGCCGGGGCTCCATGCGGTGTGGCGGCAGCATCGGCCGAGCCGGCCCTCGTCTGGCCGGGCAGACTGACGAGCCGCATTGTCTCGTGTGTAAGATGCGGCTAAAACACGCCATGGAGAGTGGCCGAGACCGCGTCCAGGCGCCCTGCAGGGCAGCCGCGCCTGCGCCCGTCAGCAGTGCCCTGCGGGGCGCACTTCCCGCTGTGCCCACATGGCACTCGGGACCGGACCGGAGAGTCGCCGGGTCCCAGTCACGCGACCTTGGTGTGCAGGGCGCACCTCGTCCCCGGGAAAAGTGCAGCTCAAGCGCCTGCCGGCAGCGCATGCCACGTCCCGTGACCCCTGGGTGGCCCCGGTGGTGGCTGCCCTTGTGTCGAGCGTGTTCCGTGCCCGTGACACGGCCTGGAGGAGGGAGCGTGAGCAGACGGGCCGGTCCTTCCCTGGCTCCCGCAGACTGCGGAACTCCGAGCAGCCTTCTCGCCCCCACCCCTCCCCGGAGCCCCTCCAGAGCCCAGCCGAGGGGCACGCGTGACAGTGACGTGCGCGCAGAGAAGTCTGCACGGGCCCAAGCGGCTTTCCCATCTCGGCGAACAAGAGCAGAGTGAGCATTGGGCACCTGCCCAGAGTCACTCACCTGCGCTTCAGGGAGCCAGGGCCAGGCGGTGAGCTCAGGGCGGTGGGCGGTGGGCAAGGAGCGGGGTCAGGCGCAGGACCGGGAGGGGCCTCGTGGCTCGGGCTCTGCCACGTGACATGCCTGCGGGAGACGCGTGGGTGCCCGGAGGGTGAGGCCACCCTACTCCCCACCTGTTGGCTCCTGGTGGGCGGCAGGAGCAAAGGGAGGTTGGTGCCAGGGGCCTGAGAGGGACCGCAGCCCCAAGTCACAGGGAGTGGGGATGGGGGGCCCGGAGAGGCCGCTGAGCTGTGAGCCGCACAGTGGGGGACACGGCGGCGCCCCGCACCGCTGGGCCCAGTCGGCGGCATGCTTGCTCAGAGATGGGGAGGGCCGGGCCGCCTGCGGGCCTGCCGTCATGGTGGCGCACGCCGCAGAGATGCCACAGTCTGTTCCGCCTCCGCCAGAGCAGCTTTCCTCGTGGGGGGCTGTGGCATGCATGGCAGGGCGCCCCCTCTGCCTTCCGCACAGAGACATGTCCTCCCTGTCCCAGCCCTCAGGAGCTCTCACCCCCAAGCAGCTCCCAGACCATGCGGGGTCCCTGCCAGCGGAGGCTTCCCCACGCCAACGCGGAACAGCGCTTGGCCCCCGTCCCTCAGTGCGGGCTCCCCGAGCTGAGGCCGGGACGGGTCACCGAGGGAGCAGCGTGAGGGCCAGGCCCTCCCTCCAGGGCCATGCCCGAGTCACCTGCTGAGCTGCTTAGAACGAGTTGCCAGGCCACCCAGAGTGTCTGGTGCGGCCGGCCTCGGGGGGTCTGCGAATTTTGTTTCTAACAGGTTCTCACGGGTGCTGACACTGCAGTCTGGGCACCTCACTTTGAGAGCCACCGTCTTAGAGGAGACTCAGCCTTCAGGAATTGCCAGGGGTGGGGGTGGCCGGTGTCCCCGGCAGCTTAGCTGCAGGGGCGGGGGTGGCGGCAAGGACGGCAGGCGTGCAGGGCCCTTGGGCGCGGCCGGGCTGTGACTTGCCGCTTTATTGGCATCGCTGTGGCACGAGGGGGCGTGGTCATTCGCCTGGCCTGGCCTACTGGGAGGCCTGGCAGCTGGCCGAGGAGGAGAACCTGTCCCCAGGCCGGGCCCACTGCTCCTTGCCCCAGAGGGCTTTGAGCCGGCGGTAGTACACCCTGCAGCTGAAGCCCTCCTTGAAGCCACCGCGGATGTGGCTCTTGAGGGACCGCAAGCTGGGGTACATGCGGCAGCAGGCCGCACACTTGTAGCCACTCTGCTGGGCTGGGTGCCACCTGGAGGCCATGAGGATGTCCTGGGACGTGATGGAGTCCACGGCGTCCGGGCCGTGCCTGGGCTTCTGCGTGGCCTCTCGCGGACACGTGTCCTCCGGGGAGGAGGAGGAGCAGACGCTCTCAGCCAGACCCTCGGGAAGGCCGCCGTCCCCCCGGCCCTCGTCCCACAGCGCCTCTGAGAAGCTGCGGGCCTCCAGGCGGCTCTCCACGTCCGCACACACGAAGTAGCTGTAAGGGGAGAACCACGGCCGGTAGACGGTGCAGTTCCGCCTCAGCTGCTCCCCGCTCTGGGCGTCCCCTAAGACGCAGTCTGCAAAGGAGAGGGCTGGGTCTGACGCCGCGCCTCGGGCAGGCCGGGGGCGGGTCTGGGGTGGCTGGAGGCCGGGCAGCACCAAGGCCACCTCCACCCGCCCCCCGCCCGGGGTCTGAGTGGGGAGAGGCCGGGCCGCCCTTCCGGGCCCTGCTTTGGTCTGGTGTGGAGACTGCTCCCCCCGCACTGAGCCCGGGGTCTGTCGCTGCCTCCTTGGAGGACAGACGGGGCACAGCCAGACCGCCCGCCTCCCGCAGGCCGCCCCGCTGCCAGTACCAGCCTCACTGCCCACCGCACCCGAGAGGGGGAGCAGAGAAGCCAGGGGCCCCAGCAGGGCACCAGAGGGGACCGCGGGGGAGGCAGCACGCAGGCACCTTCTCTAGGGGTCCCGTCTCCCCGCTCCAAGACGCCTCACCTGGAGAGAGCAGCGCGTGCCGCAGCCTGTGCCGGAGGACGCTGCTCGCGAGCGCCGGGGGCCGCGCCTGCGCCGGGCTGGGCGCCGCGCTGGGGAGCGCGCTCTTCGCGATGTCTGCGGTGCAGAAGGGGCTCGGTGAGCTGAGGGGGCGCGGTCCCTTCGTGTCCCACCCGGGACGTCCCCGCAGGCCCAACCTGGGCGCTGCGTGGCAACCCCCAGGTGAAGAGGGCCCTCTGCTGCCCCCAAGGCGGAGCGGTCCTGAGGGCGTCCTTGGGAACTGCAAGTGGGGCCAGTGGTTCCTGAGCGGCAGGTCCAGGGGAGGCTCCCACCGGGGCGCGCGCTCAGCCCCCCTGCAGCTCAGCACGCGTGTGTGCGCGTGCACGCGTTCGTCGGTGTTCGGGAGGCGGTCCCGTGCGTGCGAGGATGTTGGGGGTCCTGTGTGTGCATCCCTTGGGTGCACGATGTCCAGGAGGGGGTCCCGTGTGCACGTCGATGTCCGGGAGGGGTCCCACGTGCAGGGGAGTTGCCCGCAGGACCGGATGGAAAGGCCGACTCTGGCCGGGTAGTCTGTGGTCAGTGCCTGAGCCTCTGCATTTCTAAGCGGCTCTCGCGATGCTGACGCTGTAGGGGCACGGACCACAGTGCCAATACCGTGTCACAACGTCTGCCCTCGGCGGCCCTCCTCTGAGGCTGCTGCGGCCGGGCTGGTGCGTCTTGGTTCCCAGGGTCAGGACAGGGCTAGGCCAGCGAGCGCCCCACGCAGACAAGCTGTCAGCTCCAGATGCCACGTGGGTCCAAGAGGCAAAACTTAGACAACAGCGTCCCCCACCCTTCCCTGGCCAGAAGCGAACCAGCCCTGAGACTTCTCACCGAGAATGCGGCATTTGGAAAAGCCATTTTCTCCCATGTGTAATGTGACTTTCTCACTAAATCGTGGTCCTGTGACACCATCTGGTAGCGTACTCAAAAGCTTCAAAAACTACATTTTTGTGGCCCTAGTGGCACCAGAGTTTACCTGGCAAGCTGGTGGCGCGTGAGGACATAATGTCGGGAAAGGCGCTCGGGGCCGAGGAGGAAATCCGCGGTCCCGAGATGCTTAGGAGTGAGAAGCTCTCCATGCTCGGACGGACGCGGGCGCCAGCTCCCCCGCCGGCTCCCGAGGCGCCCCAGCCGGCTGGGTGGGGGCATTCCGGGCACGGCTGACATCACAAGGAGACCCGTGGTTCCACTCACCCGCCAGGTTCTCTTGCAGAGACGGGTGGGCCTGCTGCGGGCAAGGGTCACACCGTAGAGGGGTCCTGCCTTGTGGCTCCTCGGCGGCCGGTCTAGGCTGGGAGTCCCAGAGAGAAGGCCTCAGCGTGATGTCGTCCGCCCGCTTTGCTCTTTAGTGCCACTTACGAGCTGCCGCCGTCTCCCTCCGGCTCCGGGGTCTGTCTGAATAAGCTCCTTGCTTCCACCCGCTCTGCGTCTCCTGCTCCTCCCTGTGCACACGTAGACTGCCCCGGGCTGCTGGGAGCTGGGTCACAAAGGCAGAGTCCCTTCGTGCGCACAGGCTTCAGTGTGTTTCCTGGGAGAAGGGACCAGCCATTGCTTTACGGGGTTGGCGCCACCTGCTTTTGGCGAGTCACTGAAGCGCAAGTGGGCTCACCCAACAGCGCTTTGCTCATCGCAAGTGACTTCGGCTGCGACCAGCCTGGGTGCCCCGCTCGCCCGCACGCTGGGGGGAGGTGACGTGCCACTCTGAAGACAGGCCGCAGGTGCCGCGTTCTAGGCAGTCGTGACAGCTGTCAACGAGGTGCTTCAGGGCTCCAGTGGACATGTTGTGCCTTGAGTAGTGGCGGCCTTGCGGTGGCCGAGCTCCGACGGCCCAGCGCTGTCCTCCTGCCTGGCCTGCTCAGCTTGGACGTCTGCTGGACAGCGTGGAGGACGCGTCTCCCTCTGCCCCGTCTCTGCCCCCGTGGACGGAGCCCGCGTGCCGGGGGTGCGGTGTCCGAGCCCACCCACTGCGCCGTTAGCCCTGTGTGGCTGGGCAGACGCCCCGCCGTTCGGCTGCCCCGTGTTCATGTGGACCGTGGCGTGGCTGAGCGGCTGCTGGTCTAGAATCTGGTGAGTTGCACACACAGGACAGGTGCGTTGGCGCATCCCGCACCGCCAGGCACCACGGGGCGAAGGGCGGGAGCCGTAGGCGGCCGGGCCTGTGGGCAGGGCTGTGACCGCGCTGTGCTTCGGGTTGGTTCCTGAAGGGTCGTGGGAACTGGGCGTCCGGTTGGCGGGGTGTCCGTGCTGGTGACTCAGGGGACATTCAAGTGGTTGGTCAATATGTAAAATATGTCTCTCTGTTTGTTTCCCACCTGCTTTCTGAGTCCCTTTCTCGGACAGGTAAGAGACGACCTTTCCTGTGGGCGACTTGTATCCCCTGATGTCCCCTCTGTTGGGTGTGCATGTGGGGGTGTCGGGGGGGTGTTGGGAGGGCCACCATTGCCATTGTTTTCTGACCGCCAAGCCTCTAGCCCTGGGGGGGGGCGCAGAGGTGGACACTAGTGCCGGCTGCAGGAAGGGCCACATCCTCGCATGTGGGGTGAGGGGAGCCCCAGCCAGGCCCACATTGCAGAGAAGGGCAGCTTCTCGCAGCCGGAGCGGGGGCCCGTGGACCAGTCCCGGGGGTGTGGGGGCTGCTTCTGCACGAGGTCGGCCCGCAGCACGGTCAGCTTTTAAGCATTCGTGTGGAAAGTCAACCATTAAACCGACGTATCGAATGCCTGTTATTGTGCGAGGCCCCGAGCTTCACAGAAAATAAACATCACTTAAGATGCTACTGCCCCTGCCCCCAGGAGCTCCCCGCTGTCACAGAGACAGAGTTGTAGCGGGTGTGGTGGGCTGTCTGCGTTGTGTAAGAATTCCGTGTGTGTGTCCTGAAGGGCAGCAAGGAGCACGGGGTGTCCAGGATGGGGCGGCGCCCGCAACTCACTTACGTTTATTAGAAACCATTTTACAATGGCAAAGGCCAGAGCCACAATCAGGAAACACAGAGCACCTGGGCCGGGCAGTGACATTCGCGCTGCTCCCCCGTGGCCCCTGCGCCTCCTGGTTTGAGGGAAAATAGTTAAGTGACTTGGTTTCCAAAGGCTTCTCTGCTAGTTTGCAGATACCACAGTTAAGGAAGAATTAGAAGGAAGTGGGGCGTGCTGGGCAAATTATGCAAATCTGCATGAAAGGGGCCAGGTCTCAGGAGTGGGAGCAGGAGCTGGGGGCCCTGTTGGGAGGGCTGTGGCTTCCCCCCGGAGCGTGAGTCTCCGCCTGGAACCCACCTGCCTGGACCGCTGGCCCGGGGAGCGCTCGCTCTGCACCCCTACGTGTCCCCAGGGGCGCTTGCCCTGTGCAGCGGTCCGGGTCATTCAGAGGTGGAGGCGGTGGGGTCCGTCCACGGGGGAGGGCTCCAGTCCTCTCCCACGGCTGGCCCCTGTCCCGAGTCCCTTAGAACAGACCTGCTAGGCCGTTGGCTTGGAGGGGTACCTGCCGAAACCACGCAGAGAGCAGCACCCGGCCCAGTGCGGGGGAATCGGTCGCGCGAAGGTGGCGGGAGGGAGCATCCTCGCCCGGCTCAGGGAGGCTTGGCGAGGGTGCACTCGGCAGACGGGCTGACAGGAGAGAGGCCACCCCGACTGGAACCCTGCCCAGGGTGACGTTATGGGGCCGCCGCCGGGGGTGGGAGCAGAGTGGGCTGCGGCCCCGAGGTTGAGCTGGGTTCTGGGCAGGCAGAGGTGGCCCGTGCCACTGTGCGGACCGCCTGGCTCTGAGCCGTCTGTATGACACGCGCTGGAGCTGTGCCTTCGGCCTCCGCAGTTCTCTGTCGGCAAGGTGGGTTTGGCCCGTCGACTCCACATGTTTACTGAGCACCTACTGTGTGCCAGGCCCAGGCCGGCTGTCCGAGATACAAAGATGGATGAGATGCAGCCTCGGCCCTGTGCGTGCTCACGACCCGTGGGCCCGCACTGCCCATGACAGGCTTGTTCTAGCAAGGGGTGGTCCCCGGAGCACCGTCCGCAGGCAGGCCTGGCGGGGCCAAGCGGGGCAGGTACCAAGAGGCCCGACTCTAGGGGCGGAAACCGGTTCCGGGCCAGCCTCGCCATAAGTGGCACTGTGGCTCCGGCCGTTCGTCCCTCTGAGCCCATGTTCTTCGCCTGCGAGTAGACGCCTTGCCGTGCCCGCCTCCCGAGGGCACGCTGAGCTGCGTGTCCGTGCCTCCTGCCTCCTGCCTCCTTGGAGCTGAGCACTGGCCCCGGGGGTGACGCGCTCTGGCCGCTTGGCGCCTGTGTGCAGATGGCAAGTCCCGCCCGCGGAGCCCACAGGCGCTGCGCCCCTGGCTGCTCAGTGGGGTGGCCCCAGTTCCCGGCCGACGCCCCGTCCCTCTGCCAGCTCTGTCCCAGGCCGAGTGGGGGCTCCGTGAGAACATCCCACCCCGCTGCCTCGTGCTCATCCTCAGCAGGCTCAGCCACCCAGGCGAGGGGTCAAGCATGAGTCAAGGGCAAGTCAGCTTTCGAGCTGAAGCTGCTCACTGATTAAGTAGTCTCCATCGAGAAAGCGGGGCTGGAAGGTTCAGGGGTGCCTGCTGGACATCTGGAGCCGCGGGCAGGGTGGGGCGCACGGCCCCTCACGGCTCTCTCCCTCCACAGCTGCCTGCGGCATGTTCGAGAACGTGAACGCCGCCCTCACGCCCCAGCCCCAGTCTGGCCGCCCCTTCCCCCGCTCGTCCTGGTCGCCGGCCCCCGGCTCTGCCGCCCTGGGCTCTGCAGAACACGGCGGGCCAGGGCTCTGGGGAGGCGGCAGCCAGCACCTCGAGGACCTGGGCCAGGCCGTGGGAACCAGAGCGAGTGACCTCCTACAGTGCACAGAGCCGTGGAGCGGGGCCAGTGCGGGCACCGTGGAGGTCAACGCAGCCGCGGAAGCCCAGCTGGCCAGTGGCGGGGGTGGCAGGTGAGTGCAGCCCCCATGCCCGCAGGTCTGTGGGCCCACTGGGGGCCAGGGGCCAGCTAGGGTCTCCAGGGGACAGTGACCCCAGGAAGGGATGCGAGGGTGCCATGTGACGCGGGCTGGGCCCCAGGCCTCACGCGCCCTGCAGGGGGCTGCATGGGGAGCGAGCACTGGGCCTTGAGGTTCCAGTTAGGACGACCGAGCGGACAATAACCGCCGTGGTCCAGAAGCTGGAGGTGGACTTGGCGCAGCCGCCGTGAGCTGTGGGCGCCGCCCTGACTGTGGGCGGAGAAGCCAAGGGCCGGGGCGGGAGGGGGGCGGTGGGGGGTCC